AAATATAGTTAAACCAATTACACATAAAAATTTTGTTTGAATATTGGGAATATCAATTCTCTTTTACTTGTAAGTACAAATAGAATTGCCAAATGATTGTTTATTTATTTATATTAGTCAAGTAATAAACAAGCAGAATTCATATTATAATTAAAACTTAGGAAAAAACTGATTGTCAGATAATATTAGGATCAGTAACAAAGAATATGGTTATACTGTATTTAAATACATCTGATTAGATAATCTATTCTTATAATTTTACCTTAAGATTTCTATATAAAATCAAAGCATTCATGAATTAAATAATGTAATGTAGTAATAAGAAAATGCAATTGAAATGTGTGATCAAGGAATCATAATTCAATAATATCATAATAACATGTTAAATTTCCTTGTTTTAAATATAAAATCTAAATTTGTGATATGTGCAAGTTATACTTGTTCTACCTGTATTATCAATTTATGTATTATATATATCGCACTAGTATACTTATTTTTTTACTTGATTTAGAATATACATACATGCATAAAAATGAAACTTGTTATAATAGCTTATCCTATCAATATCATAACGGCAAAATTATACATGTCACTCTGGCTATACTGACATCTGAATATAGCTACATCATAGTAAAATCTTTCTATATCAACTTATTTTTTCAAAAATTTTTAAAATTTATAATATAAATTGTCAGTATAATTCACTATAGTAAATCCAGAATAATGTGTATTAGAAACAGTGTGTTGGCTATATGAAGAGTATGCAAAGCAAGGTTAGTGTATAAAATCACACCTCAAAAACATATGCACAATGAGCTCATTGTATGCTTAATTTATGTGAATAATTTTAAAAATTAGTGCACTATAAATTTTTATAATACTATAAACATTTTATATAAACATCTATTTAATTTACATATATAAAAATAGACCATGTGCACATAGTTAAGATTTTATTAATAAATTTGGTGCACCATGTGGCTAGAAATCTTGTCAATTTTATGCACATTTCCTGATAAAAACATGTAAAACCTTTTAAAAACATGTGCTCATGAGCACATTGTATACATAGATTTTATATATGGTGACTTAAAGGTAAATTGCAGTTTGATGTCAAAATTTCATGATCTTATTGGCCAAGATGTCAGACTTTAAACAATCTCTTTGTTTGGAATGAGTTCTAAACACGATTTTACATGTAAAAAATTTAGGATTTATAGCCATAATATAATTTATATATCAGAATGTTTGACATTACTGCAAATTAGAAGCACTTTTTGAAACCTAGTAAATATTATTTGGGATTCTACCAAATCTCAAACTAGTAGGTTTGGATCACAACCCTATCACCAAGATATCTTCGATATCTTTGCTCAAAGTTAGAAAATTTTGTTGCAGCTTTTTGAAAATTTAGAACTTTAGATAGTTATAGTTCTATACTATTCAATGAACCTTTTTTATTTCAATTTACATTATTATAGAATTCATATAAAAAAATTTTTTATTGGATTTGTCTACCTGGTTGCCAATGTCAGAAAAATAAATATGGTGCAGATCTGTGCAGATCTGCACCATATTTAGTTTCCCAATGAAGATATCTTCACCTACAATATTATTAAAGTCTTCAAACTTTAAGCAAAGTTATCTTGATAGCCACTTTACCAAATTTAATGAATTTTTTTATTTGATTTCTATGTATGATAATATTAAATTTAGTGATTGAACCCAGGTTAACTTTTGGCTACCAGGTGGAAATATGTGGATCAACCTGCGGGTCAACTACCACAGTAGCAGGGACGATGATTTTCTGCGGTGAATAAAACAAAATTCTGCATGCGATTAATTAAATTTCTATGATGTGATGTAATGTGTTTTGGCCATATTCTGTAAAATTCTGTGATATCTCTTGTAATTTCTACGATTAAATTCTTACAATTCTATAATATCACCCTTAGCAATTTCCATATAATTCCACAACTCCCCGACTGATATACTTGTAATTTACATTGGTTTACTGTCTACATTTCCAAGAATTCTCGGTGCTAACTTAAATTTATGGTATGCTATGATATTTTAAAATTCTGTGATATTCTGTGTTATTTTTTCTTAGAAAATTCTGTGAATTCTGTGACATTCTGCAGTGACCAATGGTGATTTCTGTGGTTTGCTGTGTTTAAGAAAAATTCTGTAGTGTTCTGTAAAACACAGCAGATCATCGTCCCTAGTGTTACAAGCCGTAAGGTTTTTATCAGCTGGCTAAGCTAGCTGATAAAAAAATCGGCTTAGCAGCTGCTAATGGCTAAAGTAAGCAAAAAAAATTTACTTCGGAAGATATCGGAAATTACTCCGATGTTGATTCATTTTTCTTCGGAAACTTTCGGATCCTTGCTTTCTGTTATATAATTCTGCCTGACATTATTGTTCTGGCCTAAATTATACTACCAGAGTCATGTGACCTTAAGCCGCATTAGCCAGCTGATCATATTATATCGGCTGGCTTAGCCGGCTAAGCTGCCTTAGCCGCGGCTGCCCTAGCCGGCTTGTAACACTAATCGTTCCTGCCTAGTAGCACTGACAGATTTTCACAATTTTTAAAATAACAAATCATTATATTATGGTTAGTTTATGATCTTATGATCGCATAGGAGCTTCTTTTATACCAAAATTTAGCAACGAATTTTTTTGCTATTGCACAGTAAGTAGTTCATATATAAAATTTTGAGTTATTTGCTATTTTTTAAAGTTTTTTATGATTTTCACGTTACACCTGATCTTAAAATCTAATTGGTCAATTTATGTCGATCAGTGAAAATCTATCGGTGTAGTTCTGCGGGTCACATGCAGATCATCCGATTATACACGAGCAATCCATATTTATTCCGAAAAATAAATGTTATTACAGCCATTATCGTAATTGAGATATCTGATAAAAATAGCCGAATTATTCTTTAGTTGATTTGATTAAACTATTGATTTCGGCGCGACGATATGTAAGATACATATGTTGTACATCGAGCTCAAATTTTTGTGGATTCCGAATCAACTTGTGTTAGGGATGGGCAATGTTATAATTTACGTAAGCAATTTTCTCGCTTGTAATTATTAGTATAGCTAGAATATCTGATTATAATATATGCATAAATAGCTTTGCATTGTATTGCTGTTTAAATTGAATTCAAACACCTTTAATATTAATATTGAACATGTGCTAAATGATTCAATATTGGCATTTCGTTCGAAATTCTTTAATGATTTGAGTGAAATTAAATTTTTATTTCAACTTGATTGTATTTAGAATCAGCTTATATTGATTCTAAATCTAGCAAGATTACATGTTCAGCAGATAAATTTTATTATTTTAATACCAACACATTCAACCTTATTAAATTTCATTTAATTACTTGCCCATACTAAAATTTATAAAAAAGACTATTCTTCTCGACCAATAGGTCTTGACAAGAAATGGCTCCGAATATAAACTAATGCTAGCCGGGTCACTCGAAGGGTGGACCTATGGGGCACCCGGATGGTTAAAAGGCAGCCCATCCAGTTTCTACCTGTGGCATTTTTTTTAGATAGATTCAATAATTAATGGAATTAAAATAAAAAATTTCATTGAATTTTATTAAAACTTTATCGAGTTCTATTCATCTAAATTAAGAAAAATTAAATCGTTATCAAAACACAGTCGTGGCAAATTTCTTAAATTTGGGTAAAGTTATCTCAGTAACTACGTAACAAAATTCAATAAATTTATTTTTATTTGGGTTCTACAATTGAGCAGAATTAAATAAAAATGTTTCTTTCAAATTTATCAAGATACTATATCCTCATTTAAATTTTTTAAAAAAATTCAAAATATTTGTTACGGCAAAATTTCTAACTTTGAACAAAGTTACCTTAGACAATGTAACAAATTTTAATAAAAAATTTATTTAAATTCTATTATGTAGAATTAAAATATTGTAAAAAAATCCATTGAATATGCTTTGCTCAAAGGTTTAAATTTTTTTATTATAGTTAATGTTATTTATTCAGGGTTGTCTATTCAGATAATAGTAATGTTATTGTCTATAAATACTATCAACCAACATATACATTTGAATTAGACCAACACTGATAACTCATAACATTTTAAACATTTTAAACCAATTTAAATAGTATAACAATAATAAAAAATCTTTATTAACTTTTATATTTGTATAAGCAACGAAGGCCATATAAATATGAGCAAAAAAAAAAAAAGCTACTGACTTTATATAAACAAAATCAATAAAAATCGATCACTATCAGCTATGAAATTTTATATTATATTAAGTGAATGAATAGAAAAAAATATTAAAATAAAATCTTTGACAAGATATAAAATTTACAAAAAGTAACATTATAAGCATTAATATAATATTCTGATATTAAATTGTGATGGTCGTTAATAACAACATCCGTATGAACAGCAGTAGGTTCCCTGAATGTGATATTAAATGAATATATGGTTAATAATGTTCAACATTGATCATAAGCAAAGCATAACAAACAAAGTGTAATAAGCATATATACAGATGGGCAGCAATATTGGCTGGTACAACAGACACTATTTTTCTTAATAAGTTAAAAAAAGGACAAATAGTTAGTTAATTGCTGACAATATTATCGTTAATAATTAATAATATTATAGAAGAATGAAAAGGATTAGACTTATTACATATGAACAACATCCACCCGAACAACAGCTACCATCCTAATAAGTCAAAATAGAATACACGAAATTAGTAAAATAAACGCAAATGCCAAAGGACAGCAGGGTAAATAGAGAATATTACGGTTTTACAACAAAAATTGTAAGAATCACAAGTGTAAGGATAATTCTACTCGTATAAAAAAATAATAAATAAAATTGTTAGTAATCAATCATTTCTATTAGAATTTAAATGTGCAAGCTGAAAAAAGGTACCGCAGGACAGCTAAAAATAAAAATAAGTTTTAATTATTTATTAGAATAATTATCTTAATGAGACAATAATTTGTAAAGCATACATAAGGCCTCGTTCATTCAAACTGTTTTGAGGAGATCCTGGTTGTAGTTTTACAGCCTCAAAAGATCCATTTCTAGGAGCCACAATGCTCTCAGAAATACCAAATAAGAATACGATTGCGAATGTTAACAAAATGGCATTAATTGGCTTCATTTTTAGTGAGAAAAAAGATTAATTTATTTTAAAAGTGTGTTTTTTTTGTAAATTTAATTGATATATTTATTATTTTATTCAAAAGAATTTGTTTTAACAAAAAAATAGCCTCTAGAAGGGATCTTATTTATACTTTCGCATCGTTAGCAAAAACTATAGAATTCATTCTTTTACAAAGTGTATTTAACTATTACACAAGATTAAATTTTATAATATGCACGTAATATTTACTCCTTATCATAAAGAATTCGCGACAAAATTCAAATAATTTCAATAATTTCAATAATTTCAATAATTTCAATAATTGTTAAAAACGAAGATATTCTCCTATATTCACATATTCCATATTAAGAAATATTCCTCGCCTATATTAAGGGGTTTATCCAAATTAAACAATTGAATTTATAAATTTTGCCAAATTTGAAGAATTTTATCTTCCGTGAAGGGGGATAATTTAACAGATAACGATTAAATAATTCATCGATCGTATATTATTACACTGAGCCATATATGGTAATTTCTATACTGTATTTTTATAAATATGGAAGACATAATTGATGCGTCATGCATACACATGCCCTTTTTTTCATTACTACTAACATTACTAAGGCTAATTTGCACCGGAATTAACCTGTAATACATGTGGTCATAAAGTATCGGAATTACCGATCTTTATTTAGTTTGGCATTATTTGTTGGTACTACAATTGGCTTGCATAAGAGATTACGTATACATATATATACGTATATTGTCCTGATCAATGTTGAGCTACGTATAAGCCTGGAAACAGTAACAGTATTTGATTACAAAGTCATAATATAAAGACTTCTTTATGAAAAAAAAAAACTTTACTCCAATAGGACAGATAAAATAAAGTTTATAGATTATTTTCAAGAATTCATTGATTAACTACCATAAAAGTTGTTCAACAGTAATCCGCTAATTGAGCTTTACTATATGTGAATAAAAAGCTTTGTATGTTCCGTAAATTGATCTAAAATGGTAAAATTTTTTGAAAGCACCTCAAATTATTTAGTTAAGCTTATTGTAAGAATGAAAAAAAAACAGGTCAACCCATTTTTCACCGATTTTTTTAGACAAGTGACGATTAAGCCTGAATACTCGAGTCTGGATTTACATATGTTTAAAATCATAATCATCACCTGCTTTTAAATACATAATAAAAATATTGTCATTTTATCAATAAAACAGATTTGCGGAAAATATTCACAAAATTAATAAATTTATTATAAGATGGCATTTTTATGAATCCTAAATCGATGTACAGTGGCGATCATAAGTAATGCAACACGTGATAATTTTTATAATAAAACATAGTAACTATTGAAATTTTCACTCTATAATAAAAATTTTTAGAAAATT